CCCCCCCCGCGGCAGCAACATCATCCTCCCCGGCGGCGGTAGCATCATCCTCCCCGGCGGCAGCAGCAGCATCACCCTCCGCGGCGGCAGCATCACCGAGCTCCCCGGCGGCAGCAGAATCACCCTCCCAGGCGGCGGCATCCTCCTCCCCCCGCCAGGGGTGGCGCTCCCTGTCCTCCCCGGCAGCGTCACCAGGAACCTCCCCGGGGCGGGGACTCTCCTCCCCCGCGGCGTCAGCATCACCTTCCCCGGCGGCAGCAGCAGCACCAGGTCCCTCCCCTCGGCGGGAGTGGTCCTCTCGGAGGACTGGACCGTCCCCGTCGGCAGCAGCATCACCCTCGGCGGCATTATGGCCGTCCCCGACGGCAGCAGCATCACCATGGGTCCTGGGACCCTCCCCGAAGGCGGCAGCATCACCCTCCACGCGGCGGCAGTGTGCCCGGCCGGCGGCAGCATCACCCTCCCCCCCGGCGGCAGCATCACCCTCGACCCCCCCGGCGGCAGCATCATCCTCCCCGAGGACTTTGTCCTCCCCGACGGCGTCAGCATCATCCTCCCCGGCGAGGGCGAGGCGGAGGGGGACACCGTCCCCGGGGGCGAGCCCCTCGCCACCCTCGTCGGCGGCACCACCCTCCCCAAGGGCCTCACCCTCCCCGGCGGCACCATCCTCCCCAGCGGCCTCATCCTCCCCGACGGCACCATCCTCCTCGGCGGCATCACCCTCCCCGGCGGCACCACCCTCCCCCGCGGCAGCATCCTTCCCGGCGGCAGCAACCTCCCCAGCGGCCTCACCCTCCCTGGCGGCAGCATCCTCCCCACCGGCGTGCAGGCGCCGGGCCACGTGGCCCCGGACCCCCCGGCGGCGCCAGTAGCAGCACCATAGGCTTCGTTTGTGTGTGGTGGGCGGCGGCTTTGCCGCAAAAAATTAATAATAATTAATTACTTTTCGCTGTGTAACTGTGGCCTTGATTAATACTGTGCATGTGTGCATGTGGCGACCTCATGAGCCTGATAATATGTGATAACAAAGAGGATTGATGAAGCTCAACATCTCTTCAACAGTAACGGACGTAGGTATGAACAGTAAGTGTACATTCCCACTGGGTGACCATGCAATCCACTTTACGTGCACTAGAACAAGAACAAACATGTCTGTTAATCACCCTGTCATTCGGAAACAAAGTAGATGTCACTCACTATATAGGGAAAGACTGCATGTCGAGGGGACTAACATGAGTTCCAAGCAGGGGTGGCCCAGTCGTAGTACTGTGGGGTATGTGTGTGACGGGAAATTCGTCCGGTGACACCCTATTGGCTTGACTAAAGTCACTCTGCTGATATTGGATTGGTCAATAATAATAGTTTCCTAACGTCTGTTCATCAGGAGCTTACTTCTCCCTTTCTTTAGAAACTGGGGTTCTTCAGTAAGGCAGTCTGCAAGAAAATATAGCCAAGAATAATAAATCGTCCACGCAACAAGCAGTTTTGATATGGGTGAATGCCGTACTAAGGTGTGCAAGGGCTTCAATGTACATGAATACTGGGCGTAGGCATGATACAACATAGCAGCAGTGCTGGGAATCCCTAGGTAATTGATGGCGCCGGGTTAGAACAACCTTGGAAGATACATCTTCGAAATTTATGAGGGGCTGAATACTGATGAACTTCTCTGAGCGGTAGCGAGCTTAGATAGAATGATGGGACAAGGTATGATCACAAGAAGTAGCCTTAAGAAACTCAGGAGGAATGCACGAGCACAGAAGCCAAGCTCTGACCCAGTTTGACCAATAGCTCTTCAAATTAGACTGGCTGGAATTGTGTATGTCAAAGTGAAGGGCTATATAGTGACTAAATATTCATTGTGACGTTATTGAGAAGATGGAGATGATAATCATGGGATGGCAAGGCATGTTCATACTGAGCGGTGTGGCTGCGGCCAGATTTATGCTCGCTGGCCACTGTAAATGCAAAGGATTTTGATGAATAGAGAGTATAACGGGCGGCAGCACGCAAACACATACACAGTGACACCGACAAGGAAATTTGGAATCATCGTTCGTCGTGTCATCTTGATCCGCTTGTCACGATCTGATAGCTCGACGATAGGGGTCCCTGGGCTGGCATGCCTGGACATTAAATTACAATTATCCAGATGACAATGTGATCTAAAGGGGTAAATTGCACAAACACGCAGCACATTTCCGCATTTAGGTAAGAACCTTTTCTAGCTGACAGGACCTATTGTGTGGTTCCGCATACCATCGGAGGCTTAGGTACTCGTACAGCGGCAGTGTCTAGCTTACGTCTCTTAAGTAGGAATGACATTATGTATACTTGATTTGACTAGATATAGCATACGATGAATTGTGAATGCCCGGCTCATCTGCGTACGCTAGATCGATCAATAGCCAGCGAAGCCTGAAACGGGAGAAACTCCCTTGCTAAGAAGAGCTGACCTTAGATCCCATGCGCAGATCATGTCAAATCCATCAATTTATTCCTAAAAGCAGGCATCAGCTTAATATGAGGAGCTAAGCAGTAGAGTCCCATCGCCTCCGATACGAAGATTGGATTTGAAAATAGTAATACAGTCGAAGCATGGCAAGTCGGATGGTTCAAGCGGTCCAGCGCAGGTGCGATGGATGTAAGATGTATAAATGGAAACTGGGTAGAAGATAGGAAAAAATGCCGGGTGGTGTAGCGGTATGCATACACCCCGGTGCCCGGCGGCGGCAGCATCACCCTCCCCAAAGGACACATGACGCGGGTGTGGTCCCAGGTTCGAACCCTGGCCCGGCGACTTCTATTCTTTTTTGTGCTTTTTTGGCGTTTCATTTTTTGGTATCACTTCTTTTGCCAGCCTGTCTTGCTCTAGTACGGTGGACATGCTACTATGAGGGGCAAATGGGCCAAAGGGGACGTCGAATCTCCGGAGATCTCAGTTTCAAGGTGGTCTCCTACGCCATCATCGCACGCCTCTTGAGCTGCCGACGGAGACGACATCTTAGGTTTCCATCCATCGCTGAATTATCGCCATCTGCCGTGTTTACCATAGCTACCGAGGGAAGGCCAGCTTGACACAGTCTCATTTTCAAACGCATTTCCTGTCCCATCTCCCTTGCCTCTTGCTCTTGGATCTGTCGCGGCATTGCTGACATAGAGGACCTGACTTTTTAGATCCTCGGCGAACGTCGATCGGCGGCTCGAAATTCGACGATCACCAATCTCTGGCTGGGAGTAAGGCTTCATTTCAACGACGCGTTCTACCTACCTTCTTCGTCATCATGTGTGCTGCCGCAGTATTCCACAGTCTGTGGCCGCAATCCCTTGTCACAGCAGTACCATCTCCGCCGAAACTATCGAGACTCACAAGCAGGCAGTGCTCTAATCAGTACAGAGAAAGAGGCATTGACCAAGGGCAACAATACGACCTTTACCTGTCACCATAGATAAGCCGACGATTCCAACTGGTCAGTAACAGATTTCTTTGGATTTTGACTGCCTCTTGGGACAAACTGAAATAACACAGCGGTAATACTCCGTGATGAGACTAGACTGAACTATCGGCGAAGGGGAGTCAGAAAAGCCTTCCGCGGATACTTCCATGATTCTGACACAGAGTCTTTTAGGTCGGGAGTAATCCTGTGTTTGATCTTGCCCTGGGGGTTATCGCCAGCCGACTCTGGTTTCGAGTAGTGGTACGTTTTCTCTTTGGGTCCCTCTACTTACATCTGCCGAGAAACAGAGCTGACCAATTTTGGGTTATCAGTCACGGAGCATCCGATGTGTACATTGCCCTTCAATCACAACTTCTCCTTTTGCAACGCTTGACTCGGAGCCACTTGCTTCCTCAGAGGAGCCTTTCTCGATCGATGCGTCTTTGAGACCCGACGATGACGGCTTACTACTGCTGGGCTTGCTTTATATGAACCAAACTTCCGGAAACGAGGACCGCTACATGCGTAAGCCTGACTCGAGCAAGGAGAAGATGGTCTACCTATCCGAGCGGCTAGAACCACAAAGCACCAGTTGCTGAAATGCATCCACGGAAAATGCACGCCATTAGCGACTCCTACATGATCGCGCGACCCTTTACATTCTATGGAGGAGATCTTGCAAGGATATTTCAAACAGTATATGAGCAAAGGAAGCTTGACGAAAGGCCCTAACTCCACATGACTTTTGTACCACGTCAGCGGTACCAGCAGCCACCCAAGACACCCTCCAGCTCGAGAAGACGACGACCGCGAACAGGCTATGATCTGAGTATAGGTGTCCTTAGTTCAAAATTCGTCAGATGTACGTGTATTTGGAATGAAGATGAAATATCACGAGTAAAATGGGTGGACTTTCGAGGCTAGGTTGAATCTGTACCAATCCTTGAGCAACTCGAATCGATCTGTAGTCGGCAACTCCTCAACCTACTTAGAGAACAGTTCTCGAGGCTGCTTGTTCTCTTGCACTGGGGCGGGTCGAGTCTGTTGCTCTAGCAAACGGCAAAGTACGAAGAGTTTGGACTAATATAGATAAGTCCTACCCTCGCGGCAAGTCCAAAAAGTATGGTAGTATTGGTGAAGAGTGCCAAATGGCTAGTCTGACAGAGTCATGACTCGTTAATCTTTTAGAGAATGTAGCCAGTGCTCCGATCATGCTATAAGGCCCGTAAAGCAATGGCTTCCATCGCAGTACGCAATCCTTAGTGTAGTCATGGACCTAGCACCTGAGGCGAGCAGCTAAGGTATTGACATCGAAGACTAATCCTCTTCAACTCCATTCATAAAAGGTGAACGGTGTGGAATATTAACGTATATTTAGAGTCGTAATATATTTTACAGAACTCGAATCTGTCTTGCATTACAAGTGGTGTCTCTTACTCTGCTGTAGTAAGACAGTATCTTGAAGCATGTTCAATAGGGAGGCCATGGATCGTGCATGAGATCTTGTAAGTCCTTACGTAGGTACATCAGCCAGCACCATAACGTAGGTTCACGGCAATTTAGTGGCTGTAGTCCCCGTAAGGCCATTTTACAGCGCATAGGTCCGCTGTAATGTCACTGAACTCCAGGACATTGACGCTAAGATTCTTAGACTCTGTTCCCCCTTTCCATAAATGGCAGCCACGACATGCAAGAACACATAAGCTGTGCTTTCCCTACAAACTTGTTCCCAATTTGAAGAGGCAGGAACCCACGACACTTCACCAAGTTGAATCTGAAGAGGTAGGCGCATCCCACTGTAGGGCAAGGTCAAGTGCGCATCCCACAATCTGTCTGTAGAATATCTGTAGATACCATCAAAAAGCAACTGTACAGCATCTGTGAAATCAACGCAATCATACACGCTCCCTGTGTCAAAAAAACTGCAATTAAATACCCATTGTCTCATAATTGATGTACAAGATGTCTTACAACGCCCGTCGAGTCTCCCGTTCCAATGGCAAGTCAGCGCTCCCGGTAGAGACTGACCAAGGAAGCAGCAATGCTTCCACAACCCCTATCCGGGGAAGTCATGTAAATGGACTTCTCCCTAGCCGCCCTCGACGTAAAGCAGTTGCTTTGGGTCGATCTAATTATGTTGACGACCCCCTGGATGATTCGGTCGATCCTACCTTCGACCCCCCTCATCAGCCCGAGCCTGAGCCTGAACCTGAGCCCGAGCCTGTCGTCGAAGACGAAGACGACGATGATTATATAACCGACGAAGATGAGTTGGAGGAAGAGGAAGACGAGGAAGAGGATGATCCCGAGGATCATGACCATGAATGTGACAGCCATTGTCACCATGGTTCGGACGTAGATGACGACTCGGACGATGACGAGCCACTTGTTCCGAAAAGGAGATTGGCTCTAAAGCGAGCCGCACCGGTGGCCAAGAAAGCCAAATCTCGTCGCTCGGCAAAGAAGCCGAGAATCAGTGATGTGGACGACCAGCTTGTCGAAGATTGGCTTGCTGAAGTTAATGAGAAGTATCCCGTCAGGGCTAATGATCCTGATGTTAAGAGGTTCGAGAAGAAACTGCGGGCCTTGGTGGTGCGCCTGCATGAGTGGGCCAAGTCTAGAGATGCAAGTTGGTTCCGTCTGCCGAGATGGCGCAGAGCTACCACCTATTCCTTCCGGTGCTACGTTGCAAGGGAGGACCCAGATGAGCTGACAGGTACTCTGCTGTCAGCTATGCCTAGAATTGCGAGAAAGATTCTAGGAAAGGAGGGTCTGCGGCCCGAGGACCTCCTTGACCTTCCGACAGGTGCTGAAGACCTTCGCCAGAGAGCGACATATTTCGACATTGTCACTCTGATGGAGCCGTCGCAAGTTATCCGGAAAAAATCGCGACATTGGAGATTCCGAAACGGTCTCCTAGTAAAGACACTGAAGAATGGGGTCGACCCCAAGACTGCTCGCAAGATAAGTGTGTACTGTGGCTCAGTTGTTGGCGAAAAGGGCTGCAGACAACGAATGCAGACACATGTCAGATGCGGCAACAAAGCTGAGGAGACCGCCTCAGCCTCTCATTACAAAGAGGCCACCAAGCAGAATGCGGTCCAGAACCTACGTGTGGCCGCAGCTTTCCAAAATCCCAAGTTGCAACCAGTCCAGCCAGATACGGACCAGAGAGCCCCATCTGTCTTGTTGGAGGGTATCCTCATGACGTATCTGGGACTCTATCTAGATGGGAAAGATGACAGCGGTTTCGAGGCACTTCACCCCCAGTGCACCTTTGATCTCAGTAAAGAGCTCAGGAAAGGGCTCGACCTTCCCAACTTCTTGGCCATCAGCCTCAACAACGCTTGGCCCCTTTACCAAGGAGTATGGGGGGGTATTACTGGCATAAAGAAAACGCCGCGAAACTATACGTGTTCCAACACCGAGTGTGGCACCAAAAAGTCCCCCAGCTGGCGCTGGTGGAAGAAAATACCCTTCGTTGGCAGAGACGATAGCAACGTGTTATGCGAAGGTTGCTGTAAATGGGCCAACAAGCACGATGGCGAAGCGCGCCTTCCACGTTTCATGCCCATCCCAGCCTGGAGGACCTGCTCAAATCCTGCATGTGATTTTGAGGGTGCAGTAGGTGGTCAAGAGAACTGGAATTGGCACTGGTACAAAGGTATTCCTCATCATAAGAGAGATGAGACCAATGTGCTTTGCACAAATTGTAGGTCTTATGCCAACTTGAACAGTGGGCAAATGCGGCCCGCCAGTTTAATCGAGACGAACAAGAGATGGGGTGGTAACCCAGACAGGAAGTGCTCGAACTGCCCCAACAAAATGCCCGAGGCAAAGACTTGGCACTGGCTGGGAAGCCCCGCGGTGAAAGACGAAAGCAATGTCGTCTGCTCACGATGCAGAGAGTTTTGGCGAGCCAAGAAAAGGCTGTGGACACCAGCCGACGACGGCGCCGACAGGAAATGTAATAACCCGACATGTGGTAAAGAGGAAAGCGGCAAGTGGGGTTGGCCAGAGGATTGCCCCAAGGATGAGCAGCATATCGTCTGTTGGAGCTGCGCCGGCAAGCTTCGGGGGTCGAAGAAAAGGGGCGAGTCCGTACCGGATTGGGTAACTCGGCTACCTGGCTACGTTAAGCCCAACAACGTTTCAACAGCAGAAGGCGAAGAATAGGGTACCGACGTGGGTATCGCGCAAGATGATGCTGAGGACCTACAACAGGCATGTATAGGTTGAAAGCTGCCTACAGCCTGCTCTCAGGCTATAGGAGAACCAGTCCAGTCGGTCCTGGATCTGTATCGCGATGCCCTTGGTCAGGGACAAGCGAAGCTTTGACGACAGTCAAGCATTAGCACCCCGGTTGGGTAGCTTTGAAAAGGTAGCCGCGACTCTGGGAGTCGTCGGCGGGGCATCCCGGTTGGGTGACCCTTACCTAGCCTCGCATCTGAGTTGGACTTGGATGTGGGGCGGCTGGAGCGATCCTTTGAGGATGGGGCTCCAGCCAGGGAGGGGGATTCTTGGAAATGAACTTGGAAATGGCCTTTCGAACAACCTTCGCGGATGGGTTCTCTTGTACACAACGACTCGGTTATTGGTAAGTATCACATTTAGTCCATCAGATGAATGTTAACTAGCGACAGACACGGATCGCTTGCTTAACACCGTAACGAATCAAGACACAGTGCTCTGTCTGTTAAGATCGTTGCCGCCCGCATACAGCTCGAGTGAAGCCTCCATCCTTCGTCACGACCAGATCACTCCGAGTCGTCAACTTCGGACGCGTTTCACTTAATCGCCTCCCCCGAGCACCTCTATCAAGTCAAGGTACGCTCTTGGTCCTCAAAATTATCAAGATGCAATGTCTGAGACTTGTCCAATAAGCCCATGGTATCGCCTTGGTTGATGTTTTCGACGCTGTTTAGCAAGGGACTTTCACGATCTCTCGCAACACCAACGAGACGGTGCACCAATCGCCCCATCTCTAGCCACATTGAGCATAGCGCTAGCTGCCAACATGTAGCATTCTACGTCTTGCCTGGCATTTTCAGTGCGCAGCAGCTGGCCATCCGGCTTTGCAGGATTGAATAGGACAGCATACCGTCGGGAATAACCAGCAAGTGAGGTCCTCCATTTCTTCCAATAAGGTGTGTTGTCTGACATCCAGGTCTTAGGGCGGAGTTGTACGTACGGAAGGCGATAAGGCGA